AAGTACTTAAAAGAACTGGAAGAGAGAAGGGTGAGGTTCTTCTTCTAATACAACCGGGTTCAACACTCCTAGAGATGATATTGCAGATGGAATCGGCTCGTCGTCGAGCAGAAGAAGAGAGGAGACGAGCGGAACACAGCAGAATCGAGGAGGATAGGAGACGAGCTGAGTTACTAGCTGAACAAGGTTTCTTGTATTTATAAGTCATAGACTGTCTAGAAGGTGGAGACGGTGGCAAGTGGTACACTTACCAGGGGCACGATGCGGGGATCAAACCTAGGATTGGCTTCGCCCAGGTCAACCAAGCTTTCTACCCCAGGGGGACGGTACATTGTTACCAGTTGTCTGGGAGGGTAAAAACACTGGCTTGTACATCGGTTAGCCCAGCATGTCATTGTATAGGCTACCTTGTATTCAATAAGCCTTTATGATCCTAAAGAGTAGAATGCATGCCGCACCCCGAATTAAGGATTGATTAAAGGCGAAGCCCGCGATCACTCGCTATCACAGATAGTGGATTAGAAGCCTGCATATAGACGACAATATTCTGAGTAACTCGATAGTGAGGGAAAAAAAAAACAAAAAAAAAACATGTCAAACTGCCCCTAAGATAGAACCCCATTTCAATCCACCATCTTCTACGTGCCCGGTAATCCATCTCAACATTATACCCTCGATCGCAGGCCTGAGTTCCCCAGATGAGATTTTCATGCTTTTTCGCTGAAAAACGGGCCTTGGAGGCGGAGTCACTGGGAAAAAGGAGGCGTCACTGAACCTTGCGTTCAAAACAAAGCCCCCTCCCTTAAATTTTTGCTGCAGAACTGGTACGTAGATGTCGTCCCTGACCACGTCTACCCTCCCGACGTCCAGCTGTTTCTCAACTTCTAATATCTTGTCCGCGGACTGTGCAACTTCTATACCTGATCGCGGACCGTTCGAAGACTTTACTTTTTATCCTTTAGACTGTCTAAATGGCAGAAAAAGCGCAATGGCTGCAGTCGCGCCCTCTCTCCCTTAGGGCCAACTAAATCCCTCATAAGGCGAGAGTCGACCATCTAGAACCAGATCTTTCTGTGAGGACAAGGGCAATGAATAGTGCCTTAATCCATGCTGATCGCAAGGGCCCAGGCAGTCAGCCATTCTGACTTTCTTATTTTGGCCCTCTTCCAAACGTGTAAGGAAGCGGGATGAGCCACTGAGAGAGGCGCGGCTGCTCTGCCTCCGCCCATTCGCTCAGCGTGGAATGTCCGTCCCTTTAAGCAAAAGTCTCGGCAAGCTGTACAGACTCCAACGATGTCGAATGACAGCCCATCGGCTCGCACACTCTGGAATGTTCAACCACTGCTGACCACTTGTGTTTTCAACGTTGAAATTTCTCCCTTTAGAACGAATACAGTTCGAACTTGATCGAGCTGCTGCTGCCAGACCAACTCCTCAGCAAATAAAAGAAGAAGAGATTGATGTAGAGGTATGTTCTGTTAGGTGAAGCCCTTAAACTGTCACTTACTGCGGATGGTTTCAGGTAGAGGATGTTACCCGTGTTGGTGACGTCACTGAAGCTGATGAAGATCTAAACGGAAGTGTTGAAGTATCACAATATCCAGAGTAAGTAGTTGGCTCTAATTTTTCAGAGTTCCAGCTGATTCGATTTATTTTTACAGGCGTCTACCGCCTCCACGTGCTCTACTTCCAGAAGAATTTGAACAGCTCGACAAGTGAATGGTCCCCCCCCCCCTTAGCATCTCCTACTTTTCAATTCCCCCACCCCGCTCTTTACCCCCAATTGACCACCTCATCTGAATCTGAACACAGCACCGCCACCTTTCGTACTGCCTTGAAAACGTACAAAATCAGCTGATTTTATTCCGCTCTGTTCACCTCACCATTATTTGATATGAAGCTGAGCTTTTTAGACAAGTTTATCTCATTATCATCTAAATCCGTTTAACAATTTCTACTGCCATTAGTATAAATGTTTAGAGTTTTGCTGTTTTCTAACGGTGGTAAAGGCGCCAGCCACTGGTCATCCCTGGCGTGCGCTCGTTTGAGCCAACTGGCCCTTGGGATACCTCCAGAGCCAGCGCATCATGTTCTTATGGACGCCTATCTCCGCCGTATAAGTCAGGAAAATTCGTCAGCTGCACCTGGCAATCACCCCAACATCGGCTTTTCGGACTTGGTGGAGGCAGGGGGCTGTCAGATGCACTCACCAAGTTTCTCCGGGGCACATTGTAAAACCTGTCAATTTTTGTGACAGAGAGGCGCCACTTGAACCATTTTTGCCAGGTTCATAAGGGTTCACAACTTCGACCAAAAAGGCGCCTGATTCGCTAGGTGAAAAGCCCTTTTCTCCTTCCATAATCAGCTGGTGCGGCATCAGGCTGGTTCGCGAGCTTGCGGACGAAGCTTCGGAAAATAATTCTCTAACCTGGTGCTGTGCAAGTGGCAACTCGCAAATGACCCGACCCCATTGACAGGGCCTGGAATTCGGCACCCGTCTCCCTCGGAGTGTCCCTACAGCATCGTGATAACGCTGACACCACACCTCGACTTTCTATGCTGCGCTATGTTTGGCACGCTTGAAATTCAAAATAGTAAATGCAGGTAGGCAGTGGCCTTGCGTACTTCAAACTAAACGTGGTCGGTGGCGTGCCTTGCCTTTGCCTGCTGTGAGGGTGTTTCAATTCTGACAAACAATTGTGGTCATGTCTCTGTCCACCATAGAACAAGATGGTAGTTGTCTCGAGTTGAAATATCCCACGAGTAACCCATCCTATGCCATGTCCAAATGCCACGCCTACCCCCGACAACTCAGGGGATAAAGCCAGTTACGTGAACGATCACCTAACGTAGTTCCTAGTTAGTAAGAGGCTATTTAATATAGCAATAGCAACTGTTGTCACGATCTTACAATCGCAGTAGACTGTACTTGTGCTGCGTTATCTTGCTGGATTTTTGGTTCCTTCCTTCCCTCCTATATCACACCATATCACGATCACCAATTAAGGGGTGGTCAAACGTCACGGGCTAGCAGACAGACTCACAGACTGACAAGAGTGACAAAACGACGCACCACATTGTTGCTTGAAGACAAACTGTGCACTCATCTCCGATTACGATCCTCGCCATGAACGAAGAAAATGGGTCCGCAGCTGCAGTAGCGTGCCATTTTTCCCCTCGAATGTACCCGGTTGTTGTTTCCGTATTCCGCCCATGCTATCCTCAAAACAGCACCTGCGTCTATACCGAAGCCTCCCAGAGAAACACGCACTCAGCGGTAGAGAAGCACCAAGCCAGAAGTGAGAGGGCGCGTTTGGCTATGGTTAGGCCACGCTACAACAGCACTTTCGCCGTCAAGCGCCGATGTAGAGTGCACTAAAGCACGCTATATCGTCGCTTGACGGCTACAAAGTGAAATTGCCACTATACATATACTGTAGTGTGTAGAACTGAACGTAATGTCAACCACCATTTCAATTTCTCTGTGGACAGTACTAGCCAGGAACTCCACAGACTTTTGAAGGTGTTCTATCATGACAACTGCCTTTCAACGCCACAGTTCGCACTCCAGAAATTACCTCAAGAATGCAGAGTTACTGGCAAAAAAGCTGGACCCCAGGCGGAACTCAAATATGCATCTGGTGCCTTCTGTGCGGGTGCGCTATCACGGTACCTTCCTTGAAAAAGGCGTCAGCAAAGCCTATATAGGGGTATGCCCAGCAGGACAGAATTCAGCCTAGCCTATATAGCCTAGGCTGAATTCTGTCCTGCTGGGCTATTAATCCTACACGTTGGGGACTTTTCATGCCACTTACCTTTAAGCTGAGGCTACGGCATAAAAACCGTCAAGCTGACAGAATGAGAGCGCCTCTAGCGGCGTAATGGATGGCGCACTCGTCTGGTAAGCGGTTACGGATCTCACCTGGAGTCATGTCGTTTGCCTATAAGTCAGCATGCTTGTGGCAAATTTCTCATACTGCTTACTACTGGGAGCATCCACCAGTTCGTTCGAAGCGATAATAGAGAGATTATGTCGCACAGGGTACGTTCAACCGTTGAAGAGAATTTTTGTAAGAGAAGTTTTTATCACTTCGAAATTTCCTCCTCAGGTAGGGCCGTCCACTCCATTCCTCATCCTATCCACCATCTTCCTGGATTCTCTCAATTTCCTACCATTATCTGGAGCTTTTTTAAAGAAATTCCTCCATTTTTTTACCAAAAAAGGCCATCAGCGAGGGAGAGGAGCGGTGAATAGGGACATACTCCAAAAAGAGTTAACAAGTGGAAAAATCTTTCACGATGGCAAAGACGACTTTTCACCCTCCAACG